ATCACACGAGAGCGATTTTTGCGCGAGAGAAGCACCGTCGAGAGGAGCGTGCGTCGACCCTGCGCCGCGCGCCGCGCCGATCTGTCGGTTGCCGCATGCTTCCTTCCCCGACGATTCCGTTGAAGTATTTACAAATTTGGCTGCACGCAAAAAGAACAATTTTAATGAAATATCTAAACGTTTCATTAGCTACAGATCAGAAAATAATTTTGTAGAAATATCAAGCATAAAGAGTAATGCTGTACAAAACTTTTATGTTCTAGTTATCAGTCTGAGCGTCTTACATCATTACTTTGATGGTCCAACAAAATTATTTTCGGATTTGTACACTTAGTTAAAATTTTAGATACTTCAACAAAACTATTTTCGTGTAAATACATTGAAAGGAAAGATTGGTTGAATATAGTATAGCATTCTTAATTGGCTGCAGCAGCCAATTAAAAATGCTATGTCATATTTTACTATCTAAATTGCTACAGCAGCCAATCTCCTCTTTTAGTGTACACATCTGAAAATAATTTTGTTTGGATCGTCAAAATAATTATATAGGACGCTCAAACTGAATTGTTAAATTTACAATGTCAAATTATACCCAATTTGAGTTACTTTAATCATTTTTGTCGGTCGCTACTATCATCCTATTCAATATGTCGTTAATTTTATTGAAACGGTGGAATTAAACAATTTCACTGAAGAAAATTATCAAATTTGATTCAAATTTAATTTATTACTTCCTAAGTACATTAATATGGACGATTTTTACTCTGAAATATAGATGAGTTTAAAAATAAAAAAAATATTATTTAATTTAAGCGGTTACCATTGTCGCTTTGATATTTAGCATAGTTAAAATATCAAAACTTTTCGCAGCATTAATCAACATGCTTGAGATTCTTACACTGAAAAAAAAGAGTTTAGTAATAGCTACCAAATGTTTAGTGAAACAATGTCAATTAAATGATCGATTAACATAACTAAAAATTATTTTACTTTCCTAAATATTTAGTAGGTGTTACCAAAATTTAGAAAAATAAAATAATTTTTGTTTAAACCCACATTACCAAACCTTTTCAGTGTATGATACATCAAAATTATTTTTCAATCTATATCTAGCTAAATTTTTAGCTAAATTCTTCAAACAAAATCGTTCCTTTCGTGCGCGTTTCTTTTCTTAGGGCGCGTTCAGATTCTCACCCGAGTGCTCTCTAGATATCTTTTTATTCTTTTTTAACGTTCAATGAACAACAAGAATGAAATAAATCTGAATGGTACTCAGGTGGAAATCTGAACATGGCCCTACGCGTTTCCGCGATGTGGTCGCAGCGGATGCATCAAGTTCTACCGATGGAACTCGCAACGACGACCGAGTCCGTCAATGTCGCTTCGTCACGCGTGTCGTCGTCATCGCCGTCGCCGTCGCCGTCGCCGAGCGTCGCCACACCGCGTCGCGCCGCGCCGCACCGCGACAGAATCGTTCGATTCTGCTATATTTCCTCTCGAATCGAACCGGAAGTTAGAGAGACGACGTGATTCTCTCCGTTTCTTGTATTATTCAACACCATTTGCAATCTGCTCTATTTTTTAGAATCACTGCCATAGCGACGCTTTTATTATTCAATGACATTTATTGTCTAGTTGAAAATTTACGATTTTTTTTGTGATAACTAAAATTTTACTTGTAAAAACAACGCAATCAGATAGTTAGACTTTCTTGTGTCAAGTATGAACAAAGTAAGTCAAACGTTGTCACAAATGTGTCATTGAAATTTATCAATATTTCTCGTTAATCAAAGTGACTCAAATATATAATAATATTACGCGTTTTCTTCTTCCACCGAATGTAAAGGAAAATAAACAAAGTGTCAATAAAATCTATTGAAGCTTGCTATAATCGAAAAGAGTTGCAATAGAAATTTCTCGCATTGAATATAAAAGGACTGAAAGCTAAGCGACGAAGGAAAGCTATGGATTCAGTTCCCATTTTCACTTTAGTGGTATCTGTCGTCTCATTGAAACCGATTAATACTTTTCGATAATCAAAATCACTCGTAAAATCGCGTCGTTCACGACGATGATTCACGCTTAATGATCAACGCACTGGAAAGCAAAATTGGAGAAAAAAAAAGAAAGAGAGAATATAGCAAGTGTTATTTTTCTACACAATGTGAATACGTTCCTCCATCGATTAATCAACTTCTTCCTTCTTTCCCGTTTCCCTTTCAAGTATTCGCCCGCGACGTTCCCAAAGTACGAGGACATGAAAGGATCCCAAGGATTTTTTTCCGAAGGACACAGCGGTTCGATTTCGTACTTCCTGCACCTGCCTGACGCACTGGAGAAACCTGACGAATCGAACGAGAGAGACGAAGAAAAAAAGAAAAAACACGGAAAAAAGACGTAAAGAGATACGCGGAAAGTTATAGCGTAGCCTGTCGCGAAGTACCGAGGATATTACGGATTCGCCGCACCAGTTACATTTTGGCACTGCTCTACATGCACATCTCTCGCTTACGCTCGCGTCGTATCGACCCCTCGACCCCGTCGTCTCTGCCTCTGCCCACTCCGAAATGCGAAATCCGATTCGGAGCAGCGGGACTCTCCGATCGAAGAGCGACTCCCGGCGACTCGTGCGGCCCGAACAAAGGATCACACCCAGGCAGGCGAGCGACGACCTGCCCGCGATATATCCTTACGATTTCACGGACTAGGCGTCAACCAGCGATCCGGAGGAGGCGTCGTCGGAATCGACGGTCCGCCGCCATCTCGGCGAGCTCGCACTGTCTCTCTTTCTCTCCTTCTCTCCTCTTTCCTCTCTCTCTCTCTCTCTCTCTCTCTCTCTCTCTATCTCTCTTTCCTTTCCTCTCTTTCTTTACCAGCGGGACGGCCTTTCTCTCGGTCGCGACTTTTTTTCGCACTCGGCGATTCCGCGATTCCACGATTCCACGAGCCGCTGGCACCAACCGCAAATCGACGAGGAAACGCACGCGACTCGAGATTATTTCAACACAAAAGCGGACACTCACACCGGGATGACGCGCGTACTGTCAAGCGCGCGCGTGAGCGCGACGCGTGCACGCCAACGACTACACGCGCACTCGCGCTGCATCGAGGTTGCGCTCACTTCGAATTACGCTCGTTCACCGTTCACGCACTCACGCGCGTACACGCGTACACGCGCCCGCCCGCGTCCGCGCCCGCGCTCGTAGCCGCAGCTCGTGCATCGTTGCGGGTCCCTCTCGTATCCGGCGCACCATCGGGGGTACTGCACGGGACCGAAGCGTGAATCTCGCACGTTCTTTCAAATATTTATTTCGGAATTTCCATTTTTTCGAGAAACAGTCGCTGCACCCACTCGCTCCGTACACGCGTCTTACAACGTTCTTCCTCTCGTCTTTTCTCCAAGTGGATTTTCGACCAGCAAAGGATCACAGTACCATGAATATCCAATGATCTCAGGATCGAAGCCTCCACGGAAATGAAGGCACCACTTTTTAGCCTAATAACGTTGCACGCGGCCGAGAGACCCGAGATGCACGTGCGCTCGACGCGAACTCGATTGGACTCGATACTCCGTTCTCGTTGTCGTATCCCGGCTGACGATGACAACTCGCGGCGGTGGCGACGACGACGACGACGAGCAGACCGGCTGCTGGCGTGCCGATGCAGCGTGCTCGCCGCGGCCGACTCGAGCGAGCACTCTCCTCTCTCTCTCTCTCTCTCTCACTTGGCTGCCGCGTGCTGAAAAATCGGGGAAAATCGATTGTCGAGACCAGGCGCGGCGTCGGCCGAAACGCCGTAGCAGCTGCTCCTGCTTTCTCTCTTTCTCCTCTTCCTCTCCCGGCTCTCCTCCTCTCCCTCTCTCTCTTCCCCAATCTCTCTCCTCGTCTCTCCTCGGTCTCTCTCTGCAGTCGGCTTCCTCTGTCGCACGGTCACCGGCTGTCACGATCCCCACTTCTTCTCCTTCCTCCCGTGTCCGTTCCGCGTCTCTCTCGCACGAGTGAGATCCTCTCTTTCTCTCTTGGACCTTTGAATCAGCTGCCTCTGGCCTCTTTCTTTATCTCCTGTTTTCCTTTCCCTCTCTCTCTCTCTTTTGCTCCTCCTCATTCTCATTAGTAAGCTTATAAAATTAAGTCTCGTTGGAAACTCCTTATAAATTGTGGCAGAATAGACTCTTTATAAAAATATTAAATTTCTATTGAATGTGGAGAAACGTTTCCGTGAATGAGAAATTCCCAAGCGTACTCGCGATGATTCTAGCAGTCTAGATTATGGGAATACTCCCTTCGGGAATGGAGCACTCCCGACATTCGAGAAGAATTTCTATCGTAGACGAGAATGCAGCGGTAGGTAGAAAGTTGGCGGTAGATACGCAGAGCGATGACGATGATTCAGGATATAACGATGAAAACGATGAATCACCAGCAGCAGATTTAAACAGGCTATATAATGCATTCTAAATGCGTTAGAAACAAGGAATGAAACTTCATTCTGTGCAGACCTTGACGATCCTTTTTTTCTCGGAGAAAATTATTTCAAAGTTTCATCTTAACATTTCAATTACAAATGGTAAATATTTGGATAGATACGTTCGTAATCCCGTACGAATTGCCGCGATGCGATAAGAGAGGTCCCGAAGTCTAAGTCTAGCCGAGGGCAATACGAGCTCTCTGCTTAATAATTAACACAAATGTTAATACAAACGATATTGTGAACAAGCAAACATTCACCTTCGTAACTACGTAGAACTCTCGTATTGCAGCTGCAGCTAAACCAGCTTTCCGTTGAATACCTTGTTACGAACGATACCCGCGTTCTGCTTTACCGTGCTTGGGTATATACGGTATTCTATATCTGCTTTATACTCGGAGAGAATTTCCTAATTTAATTTCGTACTCGGATTTATCGTTCCAATTTCTGTTCCAAGTCTCGTGGAAAATCATGCGATGACGGCTCGCAATTTTTTACCTTCCCCTCCCCTCCCCCCCTCGCCACTTACTTACCTCCTTCGTCGGTCATCACCGTCACGGTCGACGCAGGTCCGTGACCCTCGGGGTTGAATACCTGCAGAGAGACGAGGTACTGCGTGAAGGTATCCAAATTGTGAATACTATGATTCTGAAAAAGAAAAGACACGGTTTTTTTTCTTTTTTTTTTTTTTACCTTCTAACAAATGGCGTACTAAGACGAAGTGTTACGCTACTTACGTCGACAGCAGGATCACGAATGTAAACGTTTTTCATTTCTTCATCCGCTTTCTCGCGTCGCCGGTACCCGATGCGATACCCAAGGAACTCGCCGTGTATGGTGTCGCGACTCGGTGGCTTCCACGCCAGATAAATAGACGTCGCTGAGGTATTGTGTGCCGCCGTGATGGTTGGTTTTCCTTCTGGTACTGCAAATAATCATATATATTGTAACGTAAATCCTTCCAATCCTAAACTCTTCGGGGGAGGAAAACGGAATCCCAAAAATAGAGACAAGAGAAAAGCTAATCCTGAAAAAGTACATTGCGCGCTCGAAAGAGAAAAGTATTACATCCGCGTTTATGAATGCAATACGTATCTCGTTACACGAGGAAATTCGCACGACTTCGAGTGGCCAAAGCTCATCTAAATATCGTGTATGTTTATTCCATGCGAGAACAGATTGTTTTATTCCTTCGGGAAATCGCGATGAAGCTCCGCGGTTCTCTCCCTTCTTGTTCTTTTCTCTCTCTTTGTCTTTAGAGTATTATTATTTCTGTTATTTTTACTAATATCTGTAGTCGTTCATTTTATTTCTGTAATGTATTATTTTTGTTATTTTGTATTATTTTTATTATTATTCTTTATTGTTTGCAGCTCTTTATCATTATTTGTAATGTATTAAATTGTATCTTCTACTTTTTTTATGTTTTTTTTTATACGTTTGTTGCGTTGTCCTCTGCTTTGCCTTGTATTTGAAATTTTTAAAGAAGGCTTGCTCTAGAACTAAAGTAAATACTTAATCAATCAATCAATCTCTCTCTCTCTCTCTCTCTAAAGTATTATTATTTTTGTTTCTTTTGTTTATTATTTTCATTGTTACTCCTTATTAACTATAGCTCTTTATTTTATTTATAATGTATTATATCTTGTACTATTCATATTTTCTTTTATTTTGTACTTTTGTTGCATTACTGTCTGTTTTGTCTTAAAGTTCTTAGAAGGCTTGTCCTAAAACTAAAATAAACGCTCAATCAATCAATCAATTTTTCTCTCTTTTTCTTCCTTTCTTATCGAAACATTTTAATTAAACGTTAAATATTATACACTATAGAAATCCATCAGTTGAAAAAAAACCTGATTCTAAAGAACAAAGCGATATGACATACCGTAAAAAATAATATTTAAAGTTACTGCGGAACGTAACGTTCGATGGCCGGAAATCGATAGTTGTGATTGCGTCGAACGCGAATAAATATGTAACTCTCCTGTCCCGCCCCCTCCGCCCCTTTCCGGGCGAGCAGAGAAAAATTAAAACGTAATATTTAATCGACAATCATGGATATAAATTTTCAAACTCTTGGAAATTTCAAGTTTTCCCCATGTTTATGGAGGAGCACGATATAACATTTTGCAGCTATTCGTACGTGTTGTTGACGCACGCGCGAATGTATTTTACGTTCGACATATGTAGAATGTATATTTTCGACGAAATCATTCGATCTATGTTAACAATATCTCTTTATATACATACGCACGATCGTTTACGAGCATATGTATCGTTTATTGATCTCCCTCCCTCGTTGAATTGTTTTCGAAATCGGACATTTTTAATTCCGCGTTTCCGCGTGCATACGTACCGCATCTAAATCCGCATATCGCAATCCACATACGCGCGGTAAATTGATATCTTTTTCCATGTCGTTACACAGAAAAATGAGTCGATGGAAACGACCGAATTTTTTCGCACCCCCAAAAAAAAATACATATATTCGTTCCATCGTGCATTTTTGCCGTTATTAAATATCGTTTTCTTCGCGCGCGACGCGTTTCACACATCCGAGAAGCAGCAGCGCGCGGCTATTCAATCTCCATGACGTCAACTGAAACGCGCGGGTGTGAGCCGCTAAAAAATGGTCGTGTAATAATTTTAATGCTGGTGTAATTTGTTTCAGGTTGCCTTATCGTGAAGGCAAGGCAGGTGAGGCTCGTTGTCCCCAGTTACGGCAGACGACCCGAGTTCGAAATAATTAGCATCCGCGTGTCACTTTTTGAAACACCCCCGTCGCGGCCGTCGCGCTGTCGCGATATCGCGTCGGCACGTCGCGTCGCGTCGGCCGACTCGGCCGCGGGGAATGAGAAATTATCGCAGAAATTATACCGAGACATTTAATGCGCGTTGTGCGTCAGTGGCCGCTCAGTTAACCTGACCGACCCATCCGTCGTGTTTAATGCCGGTGAAAACGTTAATTGCACGATAACGAAGCGATTAATTGTGCGAAGACGATCGCACGAAGCGTCGCTACAAGAAATGGAAAAGTAAGGGATTTTGCCGCGATAACGAGCAATCTCGCCCCGTCGCCAATTTAATTAATTAATTAGCAATTATTTTATTAATTAATGTTTAATTACCCTCTATCTAACAATCTATCTTTATATTTGTAAACCAGTAGGAAAACCGACCGTTAATTTATGATTCCAAGAAAGAATAGTAAGTATTGAATCAATTATATCTCTGCAATTATTTTTCTGTATTGAAAAAAGATATATAAATATATCTTGTATAAGGTAAAATTGCGCCATTGATAAAAATGTTGTACTTAATTGTCAGAAAAGAGGATAATGTGTGGCGTACAACGATAAGCTGACAAGTGAATTGAGTATTAGTAGAAATAAGTGAAAAGTGATAAGTCGCTTAAGCAGCCTCCGCCCCTTCACTTACGTTGCAATTTAGCGCCGCGATAAATGCAGGCTGCACTTTTTACCGGTGCTAAATCTGCGTTAACTTATTATTACCCCGTCGGCGTGTTTATGACGATAGCGTCGGTTTTATGCTTCCGTGATATATTATCGAAGTACCTATTTCGCCGTAAGCGCTGAAACGCTTAATCGTGACAAACCGTCCGCGTAAACGTTGCTAATATTGTTCTCGAAATCTACGTATCGGCGTAATAGCACCGTAAGTACACGAGCGTACATATTACATGGCTTAGCGTGCGAAATTACGCCATCCCGATCGAAGTTGGCGCTTTACGTAAATGTATCCCTTCCCCTCCCCCGTAATTAAACTGTGTGTAATTATTAATTTTTTTCTTAATACATTCTCGCTTGCGCTTTTACAGGTAAAACGGGTAAAACAGGTGGGTTCGTGTCGAACTCGACTAACTTGAGTAAACGAATGATAAGGGTGTAAAAATTGGGCCGCATTGTCGGGCACGACACGATCGAAGAATCGCGACCTGATTTGGTGCTTTCAAACGATTCATCATTTAACCGGGACGCGACAAAGTATTGTCGTTATGTAATATCGAGGTGGAAAATAAATTACCTCGGTCACCCTGTACTATAGAGATTCTTCGGGTTCCCATCGCTACGTCGAAACGTGACTCGCGGAAAGGCGCCTTTATTGCATCTGCCGAGTCCCTCTACTACTTTATCAACCCCGTCGGAATCGAAAATAGTTCGCACAGCAGACAGAAGCTACCGCTCTTTCCCGATTCTCGAGACGACTCCCGCGAATGAACTTACTTAGGATCCCGACCCATCGGATGTTGCGGCAGCAACAATGCGATTCACTTCTTTTCCTTCTCTATCTCCCTTTCTCTCTGTCAGTTTTTTGTTCGATTTTTAGTGAGAAAGGCTTCGTTCCCGTTTATTCCACGCCAAAGTTAATTATACTGAGTGCGGGATATAGTACATCTAATCAATGAGCAAATTTCTCGGTTAAACCAATAGACGATTAAACCTTGAGTCCTTCATTTATCGTTATTATTACAAGCGGTTGTAAATCTGCTCAACTTGCTCGATATACAGAATTAACAATGTGGCCAGTGAATAATCTCCTTTAGCAAACATAATCGATTGTTACGATGGAATGTTGATTGACACATAGACACATCTATCTTACACGGATAGAATAAGTTTGTTGAGATATCTGAAAGTTTTTAGATACAGATCTGAAAATAATTTTGTTGGCTCATCAAAATAATTATGTAAGAATCTCAAGTATGATGAGCAACACTGTAAAAAGTTTTAACACTAGCTGTTAGTTGGAGTGTCCTACATAATTATTTTGATGGTTCAACTATTTTCTGATCTGTGCTGAGGTAAATTTAATTAGATTTTCAGAAAAACAACTTCTTTCTATATATAAAATTAGAAATCCAGAAACTGTCATTGCTTGCAAGTAATGAGAAAAGAAAAGAATCAAATTGTTCCTTGTTTTTTTGTCCTACATAATTATTTCGATGGTGGAACGAAATTATTTTCAGATCTATGTCTATAAGCTAAATTTTACATACTTTCGTAAAATTGTACTTCTCGTAAAGACATCCTCCTTCATTGAAAAGATCTTAAAAAGTTAAAAATCCTGAAACTGTCATTACTTATAAATACCTAGAGAAGAATTAAATTGTTTCTTGTTAGATAATTCATATTTACATTCAATATGAGATTGAATGTCGCGTTTGATCTGCGGATCATCGTTGCGGATTCTCACAGAAATATCCTCTTACATTAACACCGATGATAACCGAAAAAAAAAGGTGAGCGGTGAGCTGCCGGGTAAGTTCCTACAATTTTCGGTTTGGCTCTCCGACTCGCTGGCGCGAATGAACTTACCAGGACGACGCAGTGCCGACGGGTGTCCCGATGGCTAATTGGTAGCTCGGTTGCGCTGTATATTTATGGCGAGCGGGGGCGAACGAGGTCCGGAAATGGGTACGAGGACCGTGGTGCCGTATACGTATTTGGACCCGGCCGCGAGGTAAAGTGGTAGTAGAGAAGTTTCGTCGGTCCGTGCCCTATTGATCCGGGTGTACGGAGGGAGGTGAAAGGGTGCTTTCATTTGAGCCATCGTGAATTCCCGTGCCGTTGCCACACGGGCGAGCGACCGAGCGACTACCACCAGCACCGGTCCGGATCGACCTATCTACCTACCGGCCGGCCTACCACGTATCCACGAATTAGAATCACGAATTAGAATCCGGTAGCATAAACCAATGCGCGGCGGGTTCCACCGTATCATCGTGTTGTTCGTCGTTTCGTTTGTTTGCCGAATGTCCGTCGAATCCGTCGCCGAGCCTATACCGGACTCGCGCGACGGGATCGGCGAATCGCATGCAACGTGACCTGTCTACGCATCCTGTCAATATCGACGCATTATTCACCACTCGTACGATCGTCGATGTCGATGTGGGCATATCGACTG